TAAATGTACGATGTTAGAAATGTATCTTACACCGTGGGGAAACCCTTACCATGTTCGCATGTTCGTGACTGTGAGTCGACTCGCGAACGACATCAGTACTACTGAATTGATTCACCAAAATGAACTGATCCGATACGTGGTTTCTCTCACGTCCTGCGCTCACGTCCACATGACAGCTCTCAGCTGTACGTCAACTACAACAGCTGAGCTGTTTACAGCTGCAATGCAAGGCATTGCATCTCCATTACCTTGAAATGCGTGCAACGCAGGCTATCAATAGGTACCTTATGAAATTTCCTTTGTGACAACATTGTAATTAATAATAGAAACATTGTATTTCACCTTACATTATTTACATAGTTTGCTCTTTTTACAGATGACCCGAAATTGATGACTGGAATTTTTGAAATTGACGTTTTTTAATTAGTGGTTGATAATTATGATTGTGGAGTATAAGAATCTTACGAACTCGTATATTACTTGATTACAAAACAACTTTGGTTGTAATTCATACCCTAGAATTTGTTGAGAATTTCTTATTGTTTTACAATTGTTTATACAGCTGGTATTAGTATTCCAACATGAAGACTATATTATACCTTGGCTCTGTGGTAGTTTTAATGTTACTGGATGTCAAGGGTAGTGATTTAGTTGAAGAATTTGATGAATCCTCAACAACTAAAGAATGTGGATGCAAGAGTACTTCTCGAAGCAAATTAAATGACAAAGAAGAAACTCAAGACGAAGCAGTTGATCTGACATTTGCAAGCAGCAAATATTCTGCTGCTGCAAACATTGAAAGCAATTTTGAGAGAACAAATCAGATGTCATTCATTAAAGGTGATATTTTCAATATGGGTACAAATAAACCTGTGTTTGTGGCTGACGGTGAAGGACCAGAAAGAGTTGTTAAAGTTGATAGCTTTTACATGGACATTCATGAAGTGAGCAATGCAGAATTTGAAATATTTGTAAATAACACAGGGTATGTGACTGAAGCAGAAAAATTTGGTGATTCTTTTGTCTTCGAGTCTCTTCTGAGTGAAAATACCAAAAGTAAAGTCACTCAAGCTGTAGCTGATGCACCTTGGTGGCTTCCTGTTAAGGGTTGCAATTGGCGACATCCAGAGGGCCCAGATTCAACAATTAAAGGTTTGTAGGTATTCTGAAGAAGATTCCATTCCAAAGCTTCTATCATTTTTACATTCTCATCACTTATCATGTTGATAGATCGTATGGACCACCCAGTAATACATGTTTCTTGGAATGATGCTGTAAAATATTGTGAATGGGTTGGAAAACGCTTACCAACAGAAGCTGAATGGGAATATGCATGTCGAGGAGGTCTTCAAAGCAGATTGTACCCATGGGGTAATAAATTAATGCCTCATGGTTGGCATTGGTATGTTTATGAAGCAGGATAAGCAATTCAACCCTTAGCTTCTAAATAGATGGTAGTATGTAGTTTCATAAATCATATGCATTACTTTTTTTGCTTCAGGACCAATATTTGGCAAGGTGAGTTTCCAATTGAAAATACAGGAGAAGATGGATTTATAAGTACTGCACCTGTCACATCTTTCCCTACTAATTCCTTCGGTCTAAGGAATATGGTTGGGAATGTGTGGGAATGGACTTCTGATTGGTGGATTACTACTCACTCTTCTGAAGCAGTGTCAAATCCAGTAAGTTAATAGTCAATATAAATAATAACACAAGCATGTTGTTGTCATTATTTGGATACTTTCCTCAAATGATGTCAGCTTCCTGATTTTATCAAGTCAATTTTGGGAATAGTTGTGTGTGTTGTGTACAATATTGCATGTAGTTGAATACTTGTATTTTGTTATTGTAGTCTGGGCCAGCAACAGGAAAAGATAAGGTGAAGAAAGGTGGATCATATTTGTGCCATCAAAGTTACTGTTTTCGATACCGATGTGCTGCTCGAAGTCAAAATACACCAGATAGCTCAGCTGGTAATTTAGGCTTCCGTTGTGCGTCATCAACTTTACCAGAATATTTGCAGCATATGGGGTAACAGCTGTGATTTTAGCTTGGGTGCTTGGCAAGATAAAGCACAATATTGGTGATACATGAAGTTCACATAATGTACTTCTTTTTTTAACAATGTTAAAGATTATTGATTCAGTATTATTTAGTTTAATGGCACAGGGTACAATATTTTTAGTTCCTTCAACGGGTTATTATTTAATCTAAAGGTGGCATTCAAGAGATTAGTCAAGTAATAGGCACCAATACAAAATAGGTTTCTTGTCAACAAATGATTTGCAATTTTTATTTGATATTTGATTCTTTACTTTCAACAATTAATGCTCAGTTTGATTTTTCTTTTCTTCCTCTGGTATGATTTGTTCCTTCCTGTCTTGGAGTTAGTTAATTCTTTTAAAACATTACATCTTCCAGATTGTAATTTAATGATGTGATTACAAAAATTATTTATAAAGGAAAAAAAGTTGAGTAATAAGGGTTCACTCACTGAAAAGTATACTTCCGAATGAATGTTAAATATTTTTTAACAAAAACATTTTTGCTAAGAATGTGAATAAATTAATTTTTTCCTATCAATTTATTTTGTGAGCATAAGTAGCCTACTTAAAGCAAAGGTATACGAAAGTTTGTGATGCCTGGTTTTTAACTTTTATGTGTGTGTGTGAAAAATAAATTTGAACTCAACTGATTATTAACAATGATAATGTGTAACTTCAGATTTAAAATTTGCACAACTTTCAATTACTAATCTAATTACCAAGCTAATTTTTATCAAATTCATGCATTAATGTATAAAGTGCAGTGTTATGAAAGGTTAATATTTTTTTGCATTAACTCCTGTAACATTGAATTATAAATAGTCCAAATTCCACCATAATGAATTGCTTGGGGGATGATTTACTAAAAAGAAATGTCTTATTTTTACACAAGGGGATAAAAGGTGTAAAAATAGTAAATGTGATACTGGGATATGAACTTATCTTGTTGTATTTTTCCTAAAAATTTGAGAAATTTGAAGAAGCATATCAAAACAGACAATTGTCAAGAAGAGAAACATTACCTTGAGAAATAAACAGAGAATATATTATTTTAAAAGAAAAATGTCAGGTTTAGAAGACATCACTAATGATTTCTCAGTGAAAGAAACCTAATGGATCAAAAATGTTTTGATACATTTTCTTCAAATTTCATTCCTAGGAAAGAAGAGAATTTTCTGACCTGAGCTTGTTAAGTTGACTTGTTCAGTTGTCCTTACAACTGTAAGGAACAAGTAGTTTAGTTAGGTTTTTTAGTGCAGATAACTGACAACTGTTGTTGGAGTGGTTGGAGGCAATTAAATAATTTTAAAAAAATTTCATATATGTTAATTTAGTTTCAGGTTATATTCAAAGAAAGAAATGCACAACAATATTTTGAACTATGTATTTGAAATCGAATTACAAATAGGAATTCAATAACCTTGCATAACAGGTTCATTTATAAATTCTGCTGAAATACTTTTCAGAATTGTTCTGTGGTATCAGTGTTGTGCCTTAAGCTGTTAAACATAATTACATGAAATGCACATTACAAGAAGTTCCTTGATCTTATTAGAAGATTGGCTGATTTAACAATTTGCACTTAACTCAAAACACATCTTTTCACACTATTGGTTCAAAACTATATCAAGATAATATCAACACTACAAAAATGATCATGAATGTAAAATAAATGAGACTAAGGACGTCAAAAAGTAAAATAATATGAGATAATAATGTGAAGAAAGAAAATGATGTTTAATGTTACTTTTCTTCTGCTCTTTGAAAATTACAGTTTTTTCCTTATTTATTTACAAAAATGTAATGTATGCAGTTATCTGAGTATGCCAAAGCTGTGTGGTCTAATTCATAAAAACAAATTGGCTGGAATCACTGGAGAACAAAATATTGGAGAAATAGAGGGACTAAATAATGGTAAGACTCAGTAAGTGATTTACAGGAAAGGCAACTGAAAGTTTAAAAAAATTTTGGCAAACAGGTGGTCATCATAAAACATAGATTTATTGCATTCAAAATACTGCATACTTTACTATATCATATTACACTACTTCACCAATGTCTTACCAATTTCTGGCAGAAATGGAAAAGCTAAGTATTTCAATTTTGTATGTTAAGTAACATTCCATTGTCTAGTCCCACTACCCCAAATAAGAATTATTATTTTCTGCCAACAAAAATTATTTAGAAAATTTTCATTTCAGGTTTTGTCTACTTATCCAATCTTCATAAGATACGTTTTTTAATGAAGTCATAAATATTCATTAATAAAAAAACAAAGTATTTTACAAAAAAAATTTAAGTTTGCATTCAATGTGACATAATGACTTAAATACTTGTGATATAGACAAAATTTCTACAGAATGTCAAATATTTAAGTAGTTTTTAAAAATGTGAATTTTGAATCTTTTGTTTGTGTGTATTGTATATGCATGTCAGTGCACAACTTCAAAACTATAGATGGATTTTGAATGTTAGATGTCATGTCATTTCACCAGCCAATTAATGTGATTCATATTCTACAAAATTATACTTGATTTGAGAATTATATTTACTTTTTACGAAGAAAAAATCCTGTAAATGTTTTCATTATTTTATGATTAGATATACTCGAATCATTCCTATTACATATTTTGCTTTCCAAATTTTTCTACAGGAGTTCAAAACATTTTGTATACGATTTAGAAAAGACACTGCAGAAAATTTTATGATCACCTATCATATACATTTTCTATATTGAAAGTACATACACTTCACTTTATTGCAGAAGTTTCAAACTGGAACAACCCTTTGTGAGTTCAGGAAAAATTGGAGGAGGACAGTTTTGTTAAATGAAACAGGGCAATATATAAAAGCAGTTAAAAGTACAACAAGAAAGATCGTAATTTTTCCTTTGTGTACCTCAAGTTATATAACATTAAAATCCTAACTTATATGCATGAAATTTCCTTTCATGTTTTGGCTTCAAGCTATAAATACTGATTGTCAGCAGTGGCATTAAAGTGTTCTAACATACTTTTACTGACAATCGTTCACCAGTATTTTGATAAAGTTTCCTGTTTCATTGTAATTTTAACCTCTATTATCATTGTGAAAAAATTTAAGTTTGTGCTACTGTTAACTTGATGCTGCTAACTCGTTTTGAGAAGAATTCAGTGCCTATTTGACTTTCGTAAATTACCTTTTTAAGTGGATATTCCAATGTGATTAATATTTGTAATATAAACATGAAAACTATTTGATAAACATCATAAGGTAATTTTAGTAGAGAAAGAAGTATGTTAATAATGAAGCAGTAAAGAAGCCAAGGTTAATGTTAAATTGTATTATTTGGAATATTGACTCCAGTAGTAACAATCATGTGCAGTAATTTCAGTGTTGTTTACTGTTGAATTACAAAGGTTCCTTACATGAAAGGCTACTTCAAATTTCAAGGAATTATTCAGTGTATATTTGGGTAGCTAAAGAATTTTTTTTTAACCAGCACTCCAAGCATGTAACTAAGAAAATAATTTTGTAATTGAAAAGGTTTTTAATTACTTTGTGGAATTGTTTCCAACAATTGCCTTTTTAACAAAAAAATTGTTCTGGCCCCAGCCAGGACTGTATTATGTTAAACGTTGTTATATTATACATAGTCACACTAATGTTAAAAATGCACAATTATTGTTCCAGGAATGAATTTCATTGAGCGTAAAATTTTGAAAATCAAAATACACAGCATCTTTAAAATATTGGACAGAAATAAAGCCTGTTTCTTGTTAAGCAAATAAATATATGTACATATTAATATTTTTACCAATTTTGAAATGACAGTGACAATAAGATTGTGTTAAACAGTTTGAAATCTGATGCAAATGCATTTTTCCTTGTAACTAAGATTTTGAGGAACAGGTATTTGTGAAGTAAAAGATTGTTGTGCAGCATGTTAGTCAATTTGTCATCTGTGTGACTTGAGAAAAGAAATAATCACAGAATTATGTACAGAAAATAGTTTAGTGATTGAAAGAAAAAATGATTTAAAGAGAGCTACTTAAAATGGATACTTAATATTGTACTTAAAAGTTGATTAGATGTATTGTAATATGTGGAAAAGTTATGTGAAACTTTCTTTTGAAGAGTGAAAGAAGAGTTTACATTATTGTGAAGAAATGTGGCTAAATATTTGAACTGGTAAATAAATGAAAAGTTGAAAAGAAGTATACTCTCATTTGCCATAAATATGTATGTATTCCTCGTGTCATAAAATTCATTGTAGATCAGGGTTTGATCATGTTTAAATGAAAAAGTAACTGAGGAGTTCACTAAATCATGGGTATTTCTTCTATAAATTTGTAATACATTTATTGCCAGTATTTGTGCATATTTTTTTTGTATTTGTACAGTTTTCCTCATTGTTACTAAATAAATACAAACTTTAAACAAATTGTGTAATTTTTTTACAGGAACATATTTATTAAATCCATTTATTCATAAAATACCATTAACATTTGACTAAGTTAAGAGAGAATTACCTAAGTGTACTTCATGTGATTCATAATGTAGTGCATGTCATAAAAAGTTTGTCACCTTCATGGCTTAACAAACACATCTTCCTGACAATGTTTCATTCACTGTTCACCACTGCTCCTGGTTACCTCATACTAATCTGTATTCAGTGTTTTCATTTGTGTGTGTTATGTCAGACCCTCCATCATCTTCAAACCATTCTCAAAATAATTTGTTAATACAAATATGGTTGTATTTTTAACCAAAACATTGGAAGAAAAAACCAGAAAAAATTAGAGAATTTTCTCTCTTGAAATTTGAAGTTCTATTACAAAAAGAGACAATGAAGAATATGAAAAATAAACTAGTTTGTGACTCAGATTTTAATGTGTTGTTAGCGTTCAATTTTTACTTTCTTGTATTCATACGTAATGAAGTAATATACATATATTATATAGAGAAGAATTATATATACATATATAGAGAATGTTATACTGCACCAAAAAAACAGCAAATTTTTCAATGGAAAAACTCCTGTGGGGTCCTAATAGAGAAAAAGTAGATAAATCCTCTTCTAAAATGCTTTAAATTCCTAGCTGTATTACATTATGTAGTCAGATTACAGAAATTGTGGGATGATACCGAAAAAGTGATACCAACCTTGATAGCAGAAAAGTGTTTTCGCAAAAAGTCTGTTTGTCCGTGAACACCACTACCACGTAAACCATACATAGGATTTCTTCCAAAATGGATATTCTCTGGTCGATCTACCTTACTTGAAGCTTTGCGATTTTGAAAAACATTAATTTTTGGGGGTTCTTTTACATGAAGCTCCAAATGTTTTGAAAGAATACACTTATAAAGATGGCAGAGGTCCGTTTCTCTCTGTTAACTCCCAATTTTAAAAAATAACAAAAGTTTGAACTTCTTTCAGGGTCTTCTTGCAGCTACAAAATTGAAGATGGATTTTTTATTCTTTAATTGCAATTTGTTCTCCATAGTTAGTTCTTTCATTAAAGTCATGCCCATTTTTTTGAAAATTCTAGTAGTTTTCAGGCAATACTGAGTGCAATACGTGCAATTTTAAAAAGTAACAAGCACAAGATTTTCTCAAAAACGGCTCCAAATTTGGTTTAGTTTTCTTTAAAGTTTAGGTAGTGATAGTGCCAAATGTACTCTATGATATGACATTAACGCAAAGTTGGTCTATTCTTTTATTTTTTCAAAAATTACAAATATGGAAAATTTTTTTCGTCCCTCCTGTGTTGTTAATACTCAAGATATCAACAATTTGTAAACATTTTTGCATTGATGCTTACACGTGCTTCAAATGATATCTCAAAGTTTCTCAAAAACGCAAAAGTTTTTGCATGTTTAAAACTAAACACCCAGTTGAAGATGCCATAACAGCCTTTTAGGAATATTCTTTTCTTTTTACAAAAATTACACATATGTAATTTTTTTTAAGAAATGTCTCATGCTGTTAATGTGCAAATTTCCAGTGGTTTGAATACATTATTCAAACCACAAACTCAAAAATTTTCTGTGAAAAAGAGCTTCAAATTTCACATTTACAGTAATGCTTAAACAACATTTTCTTAAAAACCAATTCAAAAAACGTTTCCATGCAGGATGAGGTTTTAATCTTTAATATTATCAAAGTAATATTTTGGTTCTACCATTATGAAACAGAAAGATTGAGAAAATTTCAAGAAAATGTACTTGCAATACATCGCAGCTGGCAAGAGGATGGAGCAAGACCATAAAGCTAGCCCAGATCAAAGAAATTTGAAAACTAATACGATAAAGTCTGTGCCATTCTGAAGCAACACTAGTTGAACTTGCAACTGATTTCAAATCCATTTGTACTGATCTTGATAGAACAAAATAAATAAAATATTTATTAACAAGGATTTATTTATATATTCTTGGGAAGGTTTGCCCAATATTTACAACAATAAGTAAATATTATAATAAAAACGTAAATTGATGATGAGACCGTAAATTGACTGGATGCAGTCATAGAAGACTCTCAGTTATGAAACTCAAATTCATAATTTGATGGTTTGCTGTTGAGTAGTTGATTTTTACTGGTATTTATGTCTAGCTGAATTTCATTTAAGTAAGTTGATATTTTTGCCTCTGGTTGACAAGAGACAAATGAAATATGCAAAAGCACCCACGAAAATGCATTACGTAACCGTTATCCAGGAGTACAATTAATACCAAACCCAAATTAGAAGTTTCTCCAATTCAAGAACATTTCAAAAAGAACAAAGAATCAGTAGCCCTTGCAAAAGCTTATCAGCCACTAGACTTATAGGAAATATACTCGGGTCACAATGTATCATCAAATCCATTCCATTAAGCAAATTACATAATCTAATAAAAAAATTATGTTGCCAGTCACAGGAGGCTAACATGGCAATCATTGTTTATTACCATACCAGCTGGTCTCTAATAAAAGCGTATTTATGCAGTAACAGTTCAAGAATTCTGCATTTTCAAAAGGACCAAATTAGTTATTCCAAACAACATAAAGGTAATGTTGTTCTTTGGAACCTGTAAGACCTCAGTCAAAACTTGCAGGAACCAAGATCGTGACAAATGGGAAGAACAAATAACAATGCACTCTTTTACAACACTATTCTCCAATATATTTCATCTATATTAACATTAATTTCAAAATTATTTTGCAAAATACACAATAATAAATTCACATGAAATGTTTCAAAGTTTAAATTCATACCTTTATAGATACAATGTTACAATTCTTAACCAATTGTAGATGTCACTAATTCTGCAACATCTGGATCAGTAGACCGAACTGTAAGCTGCATTGTTACTCCCTCTGCAAGAGCAAGTTTGGCACGAACAAGCACTTCATGGCCTCCACGAAATACACCTAAAAGAAAGATCATTTAGTAATTTACAATACGTCCCACAATCATAAGACGACATTAAAAAAAATCAAAATTTTTCATACGCTAGAAAATTGTAAAAACTGAAAATGTACAGTTGATAAAGATTAATTTATATCTTTAAAAATTCAGTCAAGTTTTTGGATTTATAGCAAACAGAACTAGACCAACAAAAATTTCTCTCTTAAAAACAAGACCAATTTTCCAATTAAAAGAAAATCTATGTACTTTTCATCTCAGAATAAAAGAAATAAAAATATCAATTACTAACCAGCTAAATACAATGTATGTGAACTTTTTCCTTCTGGTACTTTATCACTTCGTTCAGCAGGTTGAAGTCCTAAGAAGTTAATGATATTACGCACAGCTTCTTCTAAAGTACCCATGGTAGACAGTGAATATGTATCTTCAAGTTCTGAATGAGTTGAAGCTGCCTCCTCCCAGGCAGATCCAAAATTTGTTTTGCTGACCTTCTGGACTTGGTCCGCCAGAGTCACCTTCTACATCTTCCAGCTGGAATGAAAATGCATAACTATCATGTCAGCGGTCATCAAAAAGTCCTACAATAAAGAAATAGATTGCCAAGTTTCCACTGTATCTCTGTATTTTAAGGCACAAACAATTATTTTGATGTTACCTTTAAGGTCTACAGGTTTGGAACACAGTGGATGATGTAGATGAAGACTGATTCTTCACTTTTGTTGTAATATGGCTTTCTCTACCGGTCTAATGTAGACAAGCACAATACAACAAAGAATACAGATTCATCTATCAATTATAAAGGGGTCAATTTTCATAACTATCCGGCCTCTTGTCCATCCCATCCCCCATTATCATAATCACTTTCTAAATAAATGCTATTGATTTTAATCTTCTAATGGTCTTTAGTTGATTTAATGTGTTTTGGCTAAACTCTGCACAGTTCATTGCAATCATCACAAATTTTCACTAATATCTTAATCTGCAGAAAATTACATAAATTTTTCACTATTTTCTTCATTATAGATTCTGGATTTTCTGTCTCATGCACAAATAAATATATATCCTCTTTTCCAAAGATAAAAAGGAGTAAACTACTCATTCTAATTAAGTTTTTATAAATTGATTTCGTTGGGTCTGATATAAAATGGTGTCCTCTTTATTTAGTGAAGTTGGGTCAACATCGTGGAATCCGAGCATATGTAACGAAAGGAAATGACTCACAGTTCCCTTTCCTAAACAACACAGCTTCTTTGCTTAGATAACACAACTCCATAACCAATAACAAGCACTACTGGAATAGAAATATAAATTAGGTCAACCATATATTCATTCCACAACTTACCATATATTCATCATCATAACCTTCATCTGAATCTGGCTGTCCAGTCGCTGGATCACAATCTTTAACCAAGAACTTCAATGTTGCACTAAAAGTGCCTGTAAAAAGATTATTCAAAACAAAAAAATAGAAAATAACAGCAACAAAATATAGACTTTGACAAAATGAAATATATGGCTGTTTTGGCTTTTCATGTTTGCATTAAGTACTAGTAGCAATTCCACAACTGCAATTCCTTAGATTGGCAGGTCTCTTGAACAAATTCCTACAGTGATAAATTATTTTTGCAACAAGAGCACCCGTTGAAGAGAATACTACTCTCAATCACTTTATACCTTCAATTCCAGGCACATCCTAGGATAGTCTTCTAAACAAATGATCTAAGACAACATTTTATCTTCCTTCTCCTATCCTTACCCCCTTCCCAGTTCTTATTAGTAATATCCTGAGAATTCATACAATGCTAATTTACCATGCTAGTCTTTGGTCTATTTTCTTAAACACAAGTGGCTGAACTTTTATTGTAAGTATGTCACTAAAAATCCTGTCGATGAGTTTACTGAACAATAAATTTCAAAAGTGTTTCTAATTTCACTACTTTAAGGGGTGTAATTACAAAAAGGGAAGATGTTTTAAATGCCACTAACTTAATAGGGAAGAGCACCTGCACAAATTAAATATTTTTTTTACAGTCCATCTTTATGAAAAACTTTTAAAATCATGAAAACTTTTAACAAAATTAAAAGAAACCTTGATCATTTGAATTCCAATCAAATTTGGTTTCAAATTCAGATTCTTTTTAAAAGAATTAAGGTATTTTTGAGCATCAAAATTTCACATGAATGTTGAAAACTCAAATTTTTGTTTCTCTTCAATCTACCTTCACACATTAATGGTGCTTTTCTCTTTCCCTCAGAGATCAAAATACAGTGGGGATGGCACCTGCCTTGTCTGGCATTCACCAACTCCTTAATCTGGCCTTGCATGGTCTGCTCTGCTTTGCCCTGCTCTGCTCAAACCCACTCTGTTCCATAATACAGTTTTTGCCCTGCTCTCCCTTCCTTGATCCCAATACTACCTGCCAGGTTGTGTGGGATGTCAACATTTCATTTTTTCTTCATATTATTGTTTACATAACATACACAAAAATGTGTCTACACATTCAGACATTGAGAACTTCCAACTTTCAAACGATATCATATTTGCTGAAATTGATTGAGTAGTTCATTCGGAAAAGGAATGTTTACATAACACGTCATAGAAATAATATATATGATGATACTCACCAACAGAAGCTGGTAATTCATCAGGATACTGAAGAACTATGTAGGTGGAACCAGTTTCATTAAATGGGAGTCGTGCACACGGAACTGATCTCACTATGTGGTACCCGTCAGGAGCCTCAAGTTGAACATGCACATTTTCTAATAACTGGTCATTTAAGGTATTTGTGCAATCGAACTGCAAAGAATGTAATTATCACAAAAAACTTAAAGACAGGAAATGAGAAAGAACAGGAAACAATTGTACCCAATTAAATCCCAATTAAATACCTGCAGGACTAAATGTTCTGGGAAACAGTGTTTCACACATCGAACAACATACTCTGTTTCTGATTCAGTTAATTCAACTGGATCTGAGCTATGGAAGAGGGAAATACTAAGATTTGCTAATTCAGGTACAGCTCGCAATTTTTCCAAATATGTCTCCTCTCGGGTGACAGTATTTGCAGTAGCAGCTGCAACAGCTGCCTTGCTCCCTGCAAACAATACGAACATTAGAGATTCAATATATGAAATGCAAAGGGAAAGAAATATATTACGAAGCTACATTCATTTTTTTCTCTGTGTCATTATACCAGGTAATGCAGGTGTTATCAACATTCCTCCTGCATTTGCTGTCATCTTGTTGGCATTTTCATCTGCAGGAGTCACTGCAGCCAGAGGAACTGACTTTATGTCAAATGCGGTCTCAGAAGGATTCAAAGTGTACTGATGTAATGCTCTCTCCAGGCTTGGGACAGACACCTATTCATTAAAAAAATGAATTTAAAAATTTGTTTCCAAAGAAGATTTAAATAAAAATTATATCCTTTTGTACATTAATAATAGTGATAATGATAATAATATATGGGTTCGAATCCTGGTAGGAGAAACCAATTCTTTGAACAAATTTAATTATGATAACAATAATAGTAATAGTAATAATAATAATAATAATAATAATAATAATAATAATAATAATAATACAATAAATCCAATTAAAATAATTATTAGATATACACTTGTTAGAAGCTTTATTAGTCAAAAACAAACATTTTATTAAGTGAAGACAAAATTGGAAGTATTAACGCTACTTCCCATTTTTCATGAGACCCACAAACCTAAAATAAAAAAAAAATTACATAAATACCTGTAAGCCTTCCACAATATAATGGTTTGACAGAGCTTTGTTCTGTTTTTCCAAAATGCTGTGATAATATGTAGCTCGATCACGAACTTCATCATCTGTGTCCATCTGGCATCGAGCCAACAAAACTTGAACATTTGGAAGCAAGTCAGGACAAGTTGCACCAAACTGTGCCATTGCAGCAACTGCTGCGGCACGAACAGGAGCATTTTCCAATATAACACGATTGTATATGAAACGAATATATCTGTAGAACAGCAATATTTAATTATTTTTATGGTTGTTATTTACTAAAAACAATATTGTTTAAAAAATTCAATACTTTTAATCTCCAATGATCATGTCAAAGTTTACATAATATAACTCTTGCAACATTCCCATAGCAACTTTTGGATGCATAAGCCTGCCATTACAGGAAAATCTGTCTAAACTAGAATCTATAGAAGCCATGCTCATACGTATACCTTCTCCTGATCAGAGAATTGGGAAGGGAGGGAATTCTCATATGGCCTTGAGAAACAAGCAATACCAAGGTTGAATTATGCCCTGATAGCTGAAGCCCCATTTCCTTGACTGTGTGGCTGCCTTGACTAAATTATGTGTCACAGGGACAGAGAAATTAAAACAGGCTTGCAGATGCATTTATTTCATTAAGAATATCTGGCATCTCTCTGCTAATTGCATCAAATTCACAGGAATTCAGTTTTATAAAAGTTATTTTTCCTTCCATGGAAAATCATTTCGTTTTATGCATTGAACAGGTTCCGTTTTATGCTGTGTAAAATGCCATTTAACTTCGAGCCAGAGAAATAGTACATCTCCTTGTACCGCTTTGAAAATTATAACTCCTTGGCCACATTCACATTGCTCAAGGCCATGCGAGGGTATCAGAAAGTATTAAAACTCTCGGCTGCGATGTGTTCTGCCCAGCTGAAAGAGAATACAAGCAATCCAAACACAGCCTCTGTGCAGTCAAGTGGTGTGCATTTACGAGTTTCACAGTCAGTTTAACAATGGAAAAAAGAAAACCATAAAACTCTAATCCTAGATGATTAGGTCAAACTTATAGAAGCAAGAGAAACTGAAGCTGTCAATGAAGAATCATTAAAATTCATGTATTGGCGAATTCATGTAATGTATTTCTTCCATAAATACATTATTTGTAAATGTATTTTAATAATTATAATAAAATCATGTAATATACCATTTTCAGTACAGAACTATCAATATCACATAAAATGGAAACACCCTAGACCAGATTTTTTTTTGTCCCGATCAGTTCCAGCTTAGACAGACTTTACTGTATTCGATTTCTTTGATCACAGCAGATTATTTTGTCTCTAGAGAAAATTTGTAGCATTTAAAACAAAGTTTCTGCACTACACTTTCCTTGCCTTTCTGGAGGTTCAGTATGCAGTAGGGCAATACTGAAACCGTCATAAATAGGGCAACACTGAGTTTCTTTTTGTCTCTGTATTTTGTGGTTGTAAGCCAAAAATATTAGTATAAAGTTCTTCATTGTTTTATACAAATAAATAAGTAAATACACAATTCTTTGCAAATTTGTAAGAAACACACTAATTGTTTATAGAAGATAAAAAATTATAAAAGTTTGCATTGTACAATTTCATTTTGTTACAAGATTAAAATGATTTCACAGAATATTTTCTCTTTGTAATGAACTATGATTTATGACCTAATTAATAGATAGTACCTGAAAGGTTGACGTGTGCGTGGTCCTTCTCGACCCAACAAATGAAGAATACGCACAGCAAGACTCGTGTGTTCACAGTCTTCAATAAACTCGCATAAATGAGCCAATCCTATAACATAAACACTTCATTGTTTATAATGATCTTGTAATAAATTTTAGTTCAGCACAATTAAGCATAGCTCAAGTAAACATATTTAATGTATTTGAAAAAAATTTCCCATTTGGAACTTTTGTCCTGTTCAATTAGGAAAGGTAAATGAGTGGAACTTGTTTGCTTTTACATCCACTCTTACACATGCACCTATTGTAATATCTGCCTGTGTCTGTATTGCAAAACCTTTTCAACTTATTACCAGATTTTCATGAAACATCCGTAACGTGGAATAGTTCATCATGGCACTTTCATATTGAAATTTCATCCTCACCTCCTCTCCTAACTTTAAAGCAGAATTTAAGCACGAAAACTTAAGAAGCACTCTCGATTTCTTCACAAGCAACTTGAAAACTGTAAGGAAACTCGCAATGAATCCAAATCTTTTAATAGCCCATTAAATTTCCTTCTCAAAACATTGATTCATACTGATAAGGCAATAAAAATGTGAATAATGCAAGGGCCAAATTAAGAATTACTTCCACCAGAAAGGAGAAGGACGGAGGAATGGAGAAGGATTCCTGGAAGAACAGGAGCAGGAAGGACAAAGCAGGTGTGGTTAACCCCATTCTCCAATACTTACAGGAATTCTGTTTGGAGGTCAGATTTTACCCAATAGTTTACAAGTATTTCTTGCATAGATGTCACTTGAAATTATTAAATGAAAAAATGATAGACATATCACCGTTTTTAAATATACTGTATCTTTATACTCTATCATATTTTGCTATTAATTGCTATCGCACTCAATTATGAGTAGGTGTTAGAGGTTTTAGTAGATGTTTTGAAAATGAGACTTGTGCACCCTCGTATTTCATGCGAGGACTATATATGCAGGACTATATCTGCAGTGTGCTTGACGTTTGTGTCTAGTTTGAGTGTGCCTCAAATACATTAATACATTACAGTTCAATGGTTTTTATAAAGCGAAATTTGCCTCATGATCTATACAATTGAATCGGTTCAGTAAAATGCAAATCGTCATTTTACATCAAAAGTGTGCGAATCAACATGACAACTTTAGATTTGTGGAATATTAACACCCAAACTTGAAAGTAAAAAATATATATATTTGAAATTATTAAACTTGCATATTTTTTATACATTAACTGTCGTGTTTCTGATGAGGATACATGGGCTGCTCCCAAGTATTGTGTCACCGGTATAAGAAATCTTAGGTAGTGGTTGTATGGAAAACTCAAATCAATCTCATTCACTCAACCAATATTGAGAAAAAAAACAACAAACCATTTTAATATCAGCATATTATTGCACAAATATGCGTATTCCATTTTATCTTGTTCTTACCTCGTATGAAGCATGCTCATAAAATTTTCTAGTAATATACCCCAAGTGACAATGTGGAAATTAGTATAAGATTTTGTTTATTTCAAATACTAAATATGTTCATATCTTTTGAACCTTGTGTTATAGAAACATTTTATAATGATTTTCGAATCAGTGTGACTGTTGAAATCACCACTTTCATCCTGGATGTTTGAAAAAAATGTTTTTTTGTTCCTTAGTATTATCATTTAGAAACAACAACATAATTTTATAAAAGAGAAATAGACACTGTTTTAGAACTTTTCTGATTATTTAGACTGAAATGTGGAATCTGTTTGGAAGCATTTCTGACCCAATCACATAAAAATTAAATTACCCTAAACCAAGAAAACTGAAAAGTTTACAACACATGTAAAAGTGGACATAAATAGCAAATATAAAAGGAAAAGTTCATATGAATTATTTTTAGAGTTGCACCTGGGGTAACAAATTACCCCAAACAGAGGCAAAGGGTTAAGATCTAGCAAAGCAATGAAGAGGGGGAGGGGAAAGAGTGGGGGGAAGAACAGGGCAGAGCTGAATGGCAGGGATGTAAATAAAATCACTTTCTTTTTACACTACCAATAGAATTAATTTCTGTTCCTGTCTAAGAGATGCTTGTAATCAATAGTGAATGACCAGGCAATATTCAACAATGTGACCACTGCAGGTTTTCAGAGAATTAAAAAAGTTTTAAACAAACTAAAAACTAACCAGTTTCTTTTGCTTCTGGATTTTCTTCAATTATGGTGATAATAGTGTCAGCTATGGAAGCCTTGTACTCGAGTCCACCTTCATCTCTCAACATGGCTGACAGAAAATTCATTAAAACACTGTGCTTACGAGGAAACTTCAAACACAGTGCACGTATAGCCTGAAATTAAAAAGAGAAAAGAAAACCTTTGCAGTAAATGGTAGTAACAGAAAAACTGACAAGAAAAAATCATATTAGACATGTTTATTTGCAATAAGATATTAATTTGTCTTCACAGTTTCAGAGTGTGAATTAATGGGGAGATGCTGGTGATTACATCTTTCAGAAGAATTTGATGTCCCTGCTAGAAATTGTAATTTTGTGTGTAAATTTGTTCCTGCCAGGGACACAATTCAGGCACATCTATGTGCCTTATTTATAATTACACCATTTTGAAATGTCCAATTCAAGGAAACAAAAACAAGAAAAATGGGGAAAAAACTTAAAGTATATTCTTATGAATTACTAAGACAGGCTGCAAAAGTGAAAACAAAATCTTTCACTTGTCAATTAGCCCCTTCCTAAAAATTTGAACATTTCTGATAGCAGAAAAGTCAATTACACCCTTTAAGGTTTTATATAAAGTAAGAACCTAATTTACCATGAATCTACTTCTTTGAAGTCAATCTGTAATACAGGTCAAGAAAATTACTTTATAATTGCACGTTTCAAAAACATTGTACTCATAAGTTATTAAATAATATGTTTTAGATTTTCTATAAAGGACTACAGTGATTAACTTTCAACTATAACCAGTTCTTCATTTCACTTTCTAAAGTATTATTGTACCTAAAGAGAAAAGGTAGTTTAAACAGAGATCAAAACAATACTTTTGGAAGAAAGTATTTTTTCTCTAGAGTTTTGATTTGTCAAAACTCAATTTTCATCTTAATTTTTTCACTGACATTTTGTTTAAATTAAGCAGTGAACATCACAATGCCAGAAAAATTATCAGAATAAGAAAACAAGATATTACTTTGGGAAATACAATGAACTGAAGGGCAAGAAAATGATTTCCCACACGTGGCTTATTTTGCACCAATAGCAATGCTACTGTCAATAACAAAGAAAAAATGTAATTTTGTTTAAAACTTTTTTTAAGAACCATTTGTCTTTTTTTTCTCGAGACACATCAAAACCAACACTTTCAATGCACCAGAGATTACTGAGGCACCATTCATAACCATTACTTTCATTTGTAAATTTATAGTTTACTATGTTTTTACTCAAACCATTCAAATTCATGAATACACAAATTGAGAATTAAATACGATTTAGATGAAAGCTTTATGCACAAATAGTTAAACTTGATAAAATAGATATCATCAATATATTATAAAGTACGAACCTGTACAACCACAATTTTGAATTCATCACTGATTTCACTCACAAAACTTGCTATCTGCTTCATGAGTCTATCAACAGAACTCTCTGCTCCTGTTTTGAGAAGTGTTGTGATAGCTAATGTTGCAATAGAGCGATTCGAATCAGTAATAAGATTTTCCAAATCAAGGTTGCAAGCAGTTACAGCAGCTGGATGAGACATAGCAACCTGGAAATAAAATAACACAAAATTATTCCAAAACAGCAGATCGTGATTTGTTCCTACAAAATGAATCCCCTCTTCTAGAAATACAGAAGTTTAACTGATCTACATGAAAGAAAACAGAAACAATGATTTTCATGTATGGTTGCAATTATACTCACTTTATTAAGAGTTCGCACAGCAGCAAAACGAAGTGTAGGTTTTGGACTAGAACAAAATAACTGTAAAACACTGACAGCTGGTGCCAATTCCCTTGATGTTGTTCGGCGTAAGTTGACAATTGCATGAGCTGCTTCATAGATGACCATTTCAGATTTGTGACGAAGACAGGATTCAATAAATTCAAAAAGTGGTGAATCAGGAGAACTGTTTCCATTTGAATCTTCTTCTTCCAAAAGTTTACAGGCAATTCGGATCTATCAACAAACAATGTATTGAAAACAGGAGAAAGCTTTACGACTCCAAATTAACAAAAACATATACAAAATAACAAACACACTATAAACCAAGCCTTGTAAGTCATTTATATAAAACTACAAATTCATTAACTGTAACAACCTGGTATGAAAACACAAATTACTATGACGTAATAAAATACTCTCTTGGACGTGAAATGACATTCTAGAATAGAAAAGCAACAATTTTTCTGTGTGAATGACAAAGTTTCAAATCATAATTTACACATTTCTTAGATGTATATTTTAATCATCACAAACTATCTTCACAAAACACTACAAGCTATAAAAGGTTGTCAAAAGAGTACCATTTTGCAATAAAAAAATTTTTAAAAAATGCAGGATATAGTTAAAATAGATAAAAATGTCAGGATTCTAAAAAAATGAGGATTTTCTCCGAAACTTGGAATAAAAAATATCAATCACTCAACATTAAGCATTAAAAACTTTTCATTAATTATTATTGTAATCCCATTAATCTCATCTCTAGGCAAGTACTCACCAACATGCAGACTGCATAAGGAGACTTGAGTGAGTTTCTGGTCAATTTGGCCACAAGCTTGGTAACTGCAAGACGATCTGATTTCCGGATGTGATATAATACACCTAGAGCATGATACTGGACCATCACGCTGTAAAAATACACATTTGCATGATGAATATAACAGAATTTGTATTTCTAGTCAACTGAAGTAATGTACACAATTTCAATTTTTTTCAACAAAAATATAATGACTGTACAATTAGTTAAATTTAACATCCCTGTGAAATTTAACTGTTTCATTACCTGTAAAGAACACTGAACACCAACAACATAGTGTTATCTTTCACAACATTCATCTAAAACTACACCAAATCCCTAATTGATACATGATGTAATTCACAACACGTGCATTACACAATTTAATGATAAACAAAAATATTACTGCTTAAAGCAAATTCAATAAACATCTCCAAGCAACTAACATGTTATTGAACAAAATTACGTATTCAAATGTATAATTTACAACATGAATTTTAATAAACTTAAAAAGTATAATATTATACCTATACATTTAATTCAGGTAATTTCTGCTATCCTCGTAATTTTTAATAATTTTGGTATAATCTTATAGCTTGGCTACCAACAATACTATCGTAAGGCAAAAATGCATGCAAATTGTTCAGTAGCATTCATTAGAAAGACAATGCATTAATTAATCTGATTCTCATTCCACAGTCATAAAATGCAAATTTTGACAGATTTTGTCTTACCTGTCAGAATTAACCGCTTCTTGAGCTTCATTTACCCATCTTTTCACCATATCACCAGCAATTTTCGTAAGATGGAGACTGCTTACAAGTGCAGCACTACTCACAGCTGGGTTGCGATCAACAATAGCTTGTTTCATATACCGCTCAATAGCCTGCAGCATGCTCACCTAGTTTAAAATTAATAAAAAGTCGTAAATTGTGGAAGACTAAAAAAAATATTACAATATATAAAAGTTGGAGCATTGTGAATTTACCAAAGACCTCAATATTTTGGGGGCTGGAGCTGAAGGAGCTTAACGTGTAAGGCAGTTCTTAGAAATTTCTTGGAAATTATACAATTAGAATTACGGTCATATCCCAGACCTCAGGAACAGTAGGTAATATGATATTTAAGAAGACAATTTTTAAAATTTTGGGTATTTACTTTAATATATTTGAAATTATCTCAGTAAAATACAGTTTGCTCACATCCACAGGTGATTTTAGTGGTTCTATAGTTATCTAACTTCCAAATTCACTGTTATCTTAAATTACATTTATTACTCATTGGAAGCAATAATAAGTAATTTACTTCAAATAAATTATGTATTACAACATCCAATAAGTAATTACAGTGAATGTATTTTTAAAATAATTTACTTTAATTTTCAATAATGTACTTTGTTACTATAATTTACTTTTACAATGAGTAAATGAACTTCCTTGAGAGGGAAAAATGAACATACACATATCTTAGGAACAATATGAAAAACAAAAAAATGGAATGCATTAGCTACAATAAGTCAGACAGACAAATAAAACGGTACCAATCTGTAATATTGGAAGACAGGGTCACCCAGCCAATTAAGTAAATGTGGACTACATAAAATCCAGCCACTCAGGCAAGCTGAGCCTTAATAGTTTCAAATAAAAGCAATTTCAACAATCTTTTTATAATGTGAAAAATGAATGCTAAGCGAAATGAAGAGTAGAAGAAAAATATAAAAGAAGGAACCAGCAAAACACTATCACAATATTGAGTTATTTTAAAAAATAGTCAAAAATCTTGCTTATCTCACATTTAGAGTTCAAAATAAAAAACAAACTACTACAAAGAATTTCAAACCATGTAAAGAATAGTTAACAATTAACAGTAAAAAAATTACCAATAAATCAAATGATACTTACATCTGTAATACTACATAATGCTCTTATAGCTGCTGCCCGATACAGATCTTCTTTACCAGTCATATCTTTTGTCAAACTAGATGTAACAATAATAACATCTTCAGCAATAGATGACAGTTCTTTTATTCCCAGATAAACCATACGCCGTAAAATTACATCACGAGACTGAAACAATTTTGTCATTGCAAAGAAAGCTTCTGTTGCTTCCATAGTACCAAGCTGCTCACCCTGCAAAACGAAAGTTGTTTAGAAAACATTGCTTCATAAGACTCAAAGATGCAATGTATATATGCAATGTAATTAATGTAATAATCTGTATTGCACCTGGTTTAAGAGATAAAGTATTTTTGTCAATATATGTGCACATTTCCTAGGATTTAAAGGAGTGTCATTAAAAGTACGAGCTTCTTGTAACACTGTTGTCTTTTCAATATTTTGAAATGGATTTCCGCCACCTGAAAAAGAAAACAACAACAACAAATGTTATGAACTGCTCAAAAATCAAAGCCACATATTACTACAAAATTACATCTTGATACAAAACTCATGTGTTATGAATGAGTACCTCAACCACATATCAATTTAAAAAACTTTTACATTCCCTTTTGCAATCTTGAAAATGTCAGTGAGTACATTTACAATAACAGCCACATAGCCGGACTTAATCGTATAGAAACTCTGTAGACATTATAAAATGAACAAAGCATATAAATTTCCCTTTCTAAAAGTGGCAAGACACCCTCAGTGCATATGTAATTTAATTAGTATTAACTTGAAGGGAACGGAAGTAATTAGTATTAACTTGGAAGGGAAAATAAATAAGAATTATTACATTAATTAAAAATCGAATTTGTCAATATTTATTTCAAATTATTACTTTAACATGGAGATGAAGAGCAGGTTACACTTTAAATAGCAATACATTAAAACCTGATATCATTTAATTATACAAAATTTGGCAGAAAACATCATTTGTAAAACCCTCCATCAAACCATAACTGGAGATCAAACAACATTAAGTAATAAGGTAATAACAAGAAAAGCAAATTGATTTTTTTTAACATCAGACATCCTCCTATAATTTCTCTCTCGAAAAAGTGAGCATGGAACACCCACTCCAAAATTTAGCACGTACCTTCTTCTTCCTCCTTTTTGTCACGTTTGAAGGCATTCATTTTCTTCTACAATTCCCAATATTCTCCAACAAGGATAAAATATTCGCAAAACTTTAGCTCTAACGAAAACACATTCACGGTGACAAATCACACAAACAAAACAGTAGTAAAATCCCAACCTCCAATTTCACAGCTTCTGACAACCACCAGACACTACTTGCTGGCAGGAGAAGTGTTTTGTTTTCTACACGTCATCACCCTCAGAGAATGTTTGCCAGACGGGACAGTTTTGCAGGAATAAATGCTCCAAAATGTTTATAAAGCCATAATTAAATATATCCTAACACATCTCAATTACAATAGCGACAGAATTGAAGGACTTCTGCCAAAAGGAGTAGATAGTTTATTTATTAGAGAGTTCCTGATTCTTGTATTCTGAATGCGTCAAAGGCGGGACTTTTAAAATACGATAACATAGTAACATAAATTAATCAGTGGATGCCATCAACATTCTGTGAGACCATGCTTTCAAAATTCTGTGAGAAACTTATTCGCAATTTCATGATAGTTAAAGCAAAAAGTTACAAATTGTTACTCATTAGAATCGCTAGATTAAAACTACAAGAAATATATCTTGACAAGATTCAATTGGAGAAATTTTGATAATTGAATTAGTTTTCTTACTGCGGTGTTAATTCTCTTGCGAATGAAGTCAGTGTCGTTATGAAAGAGTTGATATCTGAAATATGCAGATTCTAAAATAATCAAGAAGTAGGGCCTGGGTGAAGTAGAATGATAGGTATCTTGAGCTCTTCTTTTGGTTAGCTCAGAATTGACCTGTCTTCAGGATTTGGGTACTTCGACAGTAGTACTATTGTATCAAATCTCTAGCTCATTTTGCAATCTTAATAGTTTCTATCAAATGTCAACGACGTTAGCTTCGATTTTTAATTCGCAAATGAGCTCATGTTGGGAAACGAGATGGTGTATGGATTCCGAAGCTCAAGAACACATGCACGGATAAATATACAAGACAAGCCCACTGCCCAGCTTTGATACCTGCCTGATACACTTTCCTGCGGTGGTTTCATTGTCGCCATCTTGCATTGCTTTTTAGGATTACTTTTGCACTCTGAATCAAGATCCGACGTTATTTTTCCCACATCACGTCACGTTTCAAAAAAAAATTATGCTTTTATCGCATTAATTCGCTAATGCTCTTCTTACTTTTTTACGGGAGGAGTTGCTTTAACTAAGATTTTAAGATTTATTTATTAATTCAATGCCCTGCAGTCATCTGGCAACTCTGTATAACACGCTTAAATCTAGTCGGCCACATGGTACAATGCAGCAAGTTTTACTGAGTGGCGTCACTTTTTTGTCGTTCATCCGCTAGTTTGAGTTGTTTCGCTTGCTAGTGAAAAGAGAATGTCTTCATAAGTGTTATATAGTGAATGAAATACGGCGTTTGACACGTATTTCATTAAAAAAATATAATCTTGTTTATTGAAGTTATATCAACATGCAACGTCGTGGCTGCAAGAACAGTCTAGATAAATTCTGTTATGTGTGTGGAAGTTTCTAAGATAAGACCAGCGCAAAATAACCGAGTTCGTGGGTGTACTACACATATTTCGGCATCGAACTAGGAGACCAAGACAAGCCGTGGGCACCACAAAGGGTTTGTAGAACGTATATGTAACAGTTATGTCAATGAATGAATGGTGAGAAAACAGCGCTGCTATTCCGAATTCCAATGGTGTGGTAACAGCCTACAGACTTCAGTACCGACAGCTACTTCTGTTTCCTGCACAAGGATCCACGGGAATTAGAACGCAGATATAAAGGGAAATGGAACAAAAATATGCTTGCAGATTACTGTTGGTTACATAAGAGAAGATCCAACTACATCTCGCAGACGAAAAGCAAGGCAAAGAAGTTTATTAAACTAAGTTATGACATAAAATTGAAACCATAGTCTTACCAATGTAATGAGACATTTGATTCATTTGGGCTGGGTTTTTCTTCAAATCCGTTCACGCATTTCATTACTTATTTCTATGTTAGTTCATAAGTATGTAGTATATTAGTCTTTAGATGAGTAAAACTAATAAGAAATAAGCATTCCTTACATATGACAATAAATAAACTGTAATCTGGCCTGTGCGCGTGTCTTATATTTTTCCTATTTTTATTTTTATTTTGAAAAAAGTTAATGTTATAGATAAAAAATGACTTCAGTTCGGAAATTAGCAAGTCAGAAATATAAAATATCACTTCTTAAACATTATGCAATTATAGAAAAGTTTAAATGGTCAATGTTATTGGCACTAACGCGCAAAGCAATATTCGCTAGTCAGGCTTAAGTGCATGCGCATATTATATTACAAACTATTAATAATTATTAATTATATTAAAGTACTAGCGGAACGCAGACGGCAGACGTCCTGCCCGCCATTTCCCTCTCTCTCCTTTCCTCCTCTATTATCTCTGCCGGTCTCTCTTTATTTGTGCCTGTCTCAGTCTGTCTGACTCTTCATTTCTGTCTGCCTCTGTCCGTGTCTCTGTCTTTCTCTCCCTCTCTCTTCCTCTTCCTCTCCCTCTCTCTCTTTCTCTCCCTCTCTCTTCCTCTTCCTCTCCCTCTCTCTCTCTCTCTCTCTCTCTCTCTCTCTCTCTGCGTCTCTGTTTGCCTGTCTGCTTCAGTCTGTCTCTTCCTTGCTGTCTGTCTCACACTATCTGCCTCTCCCCCTCTATCTTTGTCTGTGATTTATTACAGTTCTGTTTGTGGATATATATTAACACACCAACATATACCATAACATGTAACATAAACATCATACATTAATACCGGCAAAAGTGAATAGAACCAACTGATGACCACGCGAAGTGCTTTGATCCGGAAGGCACCTAGGGTTCGAATCCCGACGGGTGGCAGAAACTCTATACAGCTGGGTCCGGGACAGCGCGCTGTCTGGAGGACAGTTCTGGCGGCCGGATGCTCAAAGTTCGGGCGGCAGTTCTCCTGGGTTTCTCCACTTCGAGATCTGAGTGACCTTAGCAGATTAGCCGCGTCCTCGGATACAATTGAAGTAATTAACCATTAATTTATAGAAGATAGATTAAAAACTTATTTAAAAGAAAAATATTCACTAAACATCTAAAGGATACTAAATACATTTTTCGTAGGGCGGGTTGGGGTTCGAATAAAAAACCGATGGGGCGCGTCGGGCTTCATGTCGTCTTTGCGCCTCCATTGCTTCCCACTATTACCGGAACCTGATTACTAATTCTATTAATCCGCTACAACGTTTTACTACTACACTATTATCCAATCACGGTGATACTAATTAATTATCCGAATTCGTTCTTGAACCTTGATATTGCTAGATTCGAAACGGGTTTGTATTATTTCGTGACGAGATAGATATTTTTGGCACCTAAACTAGTTTGGCCTCGTTCTTTGATGCCAAAATAGTCGCTCTTTACATGGGAGCGCACATTTTTGTAGTATCATTATTTGCTCAACAATGCTCTTTGCTACTCTTTTATCGCACCATATTTCAAACTTCTAGCGTTTGCAAAAGGGAGGGCGTGGGATTCGGAGCTACAAGAAAATTTCCGCCAATTGTTATTTCGTCAATGAGTTATGATTATAGTTGACTGGCGCAAGTTCACCCTTGACCAAGCATCGCTAGGCATGCAGAATTTAAAACTACAGATGCTAACAACAACCAAAATACTGCCGCATTATTGGAAATAATAACTGTAATATGTAAAAATATTATTTTCGTCAAGTATGGGCAGAAATTGTAATTGATAATTGTAGTAATAAAACGTAGTTATAAGGGAAAAGTCAATACAGACGAAGCGCCTATGGCGATATCTGCATTATTTCGATTGTGCAGCGAACAGTAAGTAATTTCTAACGTTTCCAAATGAAATTAAACCTGAAGGAAATTAACTGTTTAGAATATTTGCAAACATTGTACAGAACAATAACGAATAATATATCACAACAAGCTTGCTTTGATTAATGGAAGTGAGCTAATAATTTCGAATACCAAAATCAGCGATCAGAACTTCTTAAAGTAAAAGAGATGCATTTTAGTTTTCCGTTAAATATATTACCTTCCTTAAAATTTTTCCTTTTGTAAGACTTTTATCTTATATTATACATACATCATCATCGTATTATATCAACACGACCATAAACAGTGAGAAGGATTCGAATGTAATTGAAACAGTTATGCCATTTTGCGAACTGGACAACACTTCAGACGAAGCGCGGTAATTTATTACCATATACGGCTTCTGACGTAGCCGGGGTCTGCATAGTTTTCCTTCAATTTCCGTGTGCATTGGAAAGTAGTAATATTACATTCCGTCATGCATCTGTCACGACAGCTATCGACAAATTGGTTTCCGATGGCAGATTTGAGTCACTACGCGATTCAACAAAGTATATTATCTCTGCATGCAAAAACAATACAATAATCACAATACATTTTCCCAAATTTTATATACAGTTTCGCAACCATATGACACATGAAATTCTTAAAATCTAAAACAACACAATATTTTTTTTAAAGAAATAACATCAGGACCCTTTCCCGAAATAATGTCTACTCAGATTAAAAATTGATCATTAAGGCAAAGTTTAAAATAAATTGTGACATGGGAGTCGTCGCCAGGGCGCCTCCCCCAGAACTGTCAACCTCATTAACTGAATCGTCGCTCTCCCAATAATTTCCTGCTTGACGTCCACCAAATTGTTGTAAGTCTACTTTATTGTAATTCATACTATGTACTAATAAAAATAATTCAACGACATGTAATCGACATCGATACCACAAAAGTAGATACGAACATCTGTGAATAGATACGAAACTTTTACAGGATCTTTTTCAGATTCTTGCAGTGTTCTAGCAAAGTTGGTAAAGATTAAACAGCACAAATGCCGAAATAAATAATTTAAATATTTAGGTAGATGCATCCCGATAATTATTTTCTCCTGTCGCTAAGAGCAGATTGGTTCTTAATATATATCGCTAGAGGGTAATAGCAGTGCGGTAGAACTGGATCTTAATTATTAGAATAGATTCGCTGGAGCCAGTAGCAGTGCGTAAGATAAATATTTTTAATATAATAGAAATGTACTGTTAAAATAAAATGAAATAAAATTATAGTATTTTATTAAAACTTGAACTATTTGCATTAAAATAATAATCTTAAGCCACCATAGTTTGTATAAATTTTATCTTTTTCCTCTTCACAAAGAATTGGATAATATGAAGAAAGAACGGACAACACCAGCTATTTATTACAATATGGCTAATTTATATAATATGCCGCCCCAAACAAATGGTTAATACAATGCTGTAATATAGTAAACTCG